TTAGAAGTTTTGTGGTATTTCTCTAGACTCACTTTCTTCATCTGTGAAATGGAAATAGGGCCTACCTCACAATGTTGTTGAGTGAATGACATGTAAAATTGTATGTAAAAAATACTTTGCATAGAAAATTGGCCTTTACTGTCTTAATTATTATGTCTTTTTACATTTGTGGTGCACTTGCTCTCTTTTTGAAACTTATTCTCCATTTTCAACAAGATGTTCCTCCCCAAAACTCATTTCAACTTCCTTTTTGTCATAATTTCTTGAAAGTTCTGGCACTATTTGATGGTTAATTTTATATGTCAGCTTGTCTGGGCCATGACACCCAGATATTTGGTCAAACATTATACTGGATGTTTAGCATTTAAATCTGTGCACTTTGAATAAAGCAGATTGCTCTTCATCACATGGGTGGGCCTCATCTAATCAGCTGAAGTCCTGACTAGAACAAAAGACTGCCCTCCTCTGGGCATGAAGGAATTCTGTAGCAGAGACCTTCAGACTTGAAATTACAGCATTGTTCTTTTTTTCTGTGTCTCTAGCTTGCTGCCTCACTCTTCAAATTTTGGACTTACCAGCTCCCTTAATCATGTGAGCCAATTCCTTAGGGTAAATCTCTGTCTATATATACACATAAGCTATAGGTTCTGTTTCTCTGGAGAACCCTGACTGACATTAGCTGGCTCGTGATATTATCCTTCTGAGGTTGCCGCTGAGCTGAGAAGTGATGGCTCTTCGTCGGAGCCTTGAAGCTGAGTTGTGCGTCAGATGTTGGGCTGGGAGGCTGGCCCTTGATGATCCCTAGGTTGGTGTCTTGCAGTCGACAGAGTTCCAGCATGATGGGAATGGACCTACCAGTGCTGATGTCTCATGCGGGAAGTGCTGGGATCCCATTCTTTTTCCATGCACTTTCTTCCCCCAAAATCCCAGGCAAGGCTCACATCATTTCAAGGGATGTTCTTCCTCTGGATATGGGGAAGTTTTTGGGCTTTGTGTTCATTGGCCTTGCTCACACATCAGTAACACCATGTATCAGCCGTCCTTGGACACCCCTAGGAGTTCTCTGTTACCGCAACATCAACTGCAAATGCCGTTGCCTGCCTCTGGCACGTCATATCCATCTTCTTATTCCTTGAAAGTGATATGCTCACTTCTGCCTCCATACTTTTGCTCACTTTCATCCTTTCTAAAGCGGTTTCCTTCAGGCCATTCAGGGCTGCCCAATCCTCTCAAGTTCTACCTCCTTCATCAAAGTCACCCTGCTGGCTCATGTCTCATGCTGGTTCCTCTGCCCCAGATTTTGACCCCTCAGCAAGCCTGCACCAGGGGTTTAGCAACCTCGTACACACTGACTTGCACTCATTTTTTTTTTAAGCTTCAAAGTTGAGAAGTTTCAAACTCAATCACGGGGGAAATGATTAAATGAGCAACTACTATCAATTCTATTGATTACCCAAGGTAAATGTATAAGACACAGCTTGCATTCTTTAAATGGGCTCATATTTAACAGGAGAGATAGACCAGTGACCAGAAAGCTAAAATGCAGTGACATGAATGTTATAATAGGAACGTGTACAAAGTCCTAAAGGGAGAGGGCAACTGAATGTGGGAGGGAGACCATGGAGGAGGATCTATTTTTGAACATCTATTATGTTCCAAGCCTTGTGCTGGGGATCTATGTGCATCATCTTATTCAGTATTTAAAAGATCTTACAAGGAGGACGTGGAGCACTGTTCCCACTTTTCCAATAAGATCAAAAAGAAGTGATGTGCTGACATCAGAGAATTTAGGGAGTTCATGGGTCTGTTAGCTCTAAAACCATGCATTTTTCCAATTTAGCTTGCCTACTAGGAGGACTGATTGGAAGCTGCCAGCAAGCCATATCCTGCATTGGCCATTCAGACCCCTGCCTCCTTTCAGCCATATTTGGTGTATTTGCACCTTTTCTCTTAAAAGAATTGTTGTTTTGCTAGAGATTATCAAAGCAAGCCAACAAACAAATAATAAGAGTAAACATGAATAAAACCCCAAGTCCCTCTCTTTTTGTAATATGAAGAAGGCTCTATCTATTAGCTTGCTGTTAAAACCTGAATTTGAAGGAATGAGCTTTAATGTTTAAATTAACTTATTGGTTTGGTAGCCAGACACAATCATTAATAATCCAACACATGTTAAGATAGTTCATCGAATCTGCTTCTGAAGCAATATGCTTTTTTGATGAGTTTGTTCTACAGTCTCTTTATGATTCAGCTGGATCTGTTTTTCACAAGAAGCAATAGATTTAAATATGCTTTTGAAGGGGGGAAGGAAAGAAGGCACAGAGGAAGGAAAGAAAGAAGAAAAGAAGGAAGGGTGGGCTGAGACGATGGACCACTGCAAGGCATTCTGGGAGGGACTGTCTACCAGGGGCTCTGGGTCTGCCAGCAGTAAAGAACATGCTCTCTTTGCCTGGACATGTTTAGAATTCTGCACTCACCCCTCTCAGGTCAGAGGAGCACCTCTCATTACAGGGCTGTCTGAGCTTGGGCTGCTGTAAAAAATGACCATAGAACAGGGGTGGCTTAAAGAACAGAAATCTGTTTTTTACGGTTCTGAAGGTTAAGCAGAGAAGCATGCCTTCTTGCTCCATCTTCACATGGCAGAAAGAAAGAGAGTGAGCAAGAGAACGCTCTGGTTTCTTCATCCCCTCATAAAGCACTAATCCCATCACGGGAGCTCTATGTCCCATGACCTCATTTAAATCTAATGATTTCCCCAAAGCCACACCTCCAAACACCATCACATTGATGGTTAGGACTTCGACATAAGGATGCGCGTATTAGTTCATAGCAAAGGCACCTTCATTGCCATAATGCAGGCGCTGAGATGTTGTCTTCTTCTTTGCTTGGTACTTAAAATGTCAAGTGCTACATGGATTTAACCTGCCAGTGGGAATGGGGTAGCTCACCCTTTGGGCTTACCTCCTTTTATTTCTGCCCTGTTCTTCAAAACCCACTTTATCAAAGCTCTCTCTGCTCTCTTCAGTTGGAATCTCTCCTTCTGCTATCAGCTTTTACAGATGGAAGAAACTAAGATTCAGATCCAAAGTCCACATTTGTCATTCACCATCTGTGTGCTTTTGTGCACATTCCATACCCTCCCCCAGCTTCACCTCAGCTTCCTCTGTATTATATGAGGAATGTAAACCTCTGCCTTCTTTTTGGGACTTTACACATGTTATTTTCTCTGCCAAGAACAATCTCTTCCTCTAACTTGCTTGGCTGACTTATTCTCCATGACTTAGCTTAGAAGTCACTTCTTCCTGGAAGCCTTCTTTGATTCGCCAAATTGGTATTAGATGGCCTCTATTTTCCATCATGCTTCATGTTACACTGTAATTAAGTGCTTGCTCATTTGTACCTCTCTACCATATCAGCAGACCTACAGCCTAGAGCAATGATCAGAAAATATTGCCAAGTTATACTTTAGCAATTACATGAGTAAAGCTCAAGGCACAAGGTAAGTAGCTGCTCAATAAATTATAGTCTGCTCCTGCCTCTCTGTACCTTAGTGCGCTTTGCACTGAAGTTAGTATTATTTATTTCTGTCTCTCCACTTAACTTTGTACATTTTGAGATCTGGATTCACCTGGTTCTCTACATCTAAAGACCTGGATTCATGACTTAATTATCTTTGTATCCCTCATAAGGTCTAACACTCAGGACCACCCATACAATAGCTACTGGATAAATGTCAACCATGCTACACAATAGCCTTAAAGTCTTCCAACTCAAGTCTTCATGCTAGGAAAGTACTTTGCCTATTTTCACCGGAGTCATAATTGAAAGTTCAGCTCACTTAAACAAGCATTTATCTTTTTTATAAGAGGTGTTCAGTAAGTGTTCATGCAGTAGATGGATGATGAACACATTGAATTCTTGTTTCTATTTGTTCTGGATTTAAGTTGTTTGCATGAGGACAAGGAGCTCCTTGTTCTTTATCTTTTATCTTACTGTGCCTTGGGTGCTTGAAAAGGCTCCCTGAATTGAATTGGGGGAATAAGCCTGGTGACTCTGCTTTCACTTGGCTATTCACAATCTTCTTCGAGAATTGCCCAAAGGGAGCTCTCACAGTGGCGGGCAGTGTGTGGGTAAACGAAGGGAGAGAAGCAAAGAGAGAATGCACAGATGAATTTTTTAAAAAATTAATTTTCACTGGAGTGTAGTTGACTTAAATGTCATGTTAGTTTCTGCTGTATAGCAAAGTGAATCTGTTATACATATACACATATCTGTTCTTTTTAAGATTCTTTTCCCATACAGGTTATTACAGTGTATTGAGTGGAGTTTCCTGAGCTGCACGGGAGGTTCTTATTAGTTATCTGTTTTATATATAGTAGTATCTTTATGTCAATTGCAATCTCCCAATTTATTCCTCCCTACTTCCCCCTCTAGTAACCATAAATTTGTTTTCTGTGTAAAAATCACGTTGGAAGTCAGGCATGGAAGCCCTATTGTTGTGGCTGTTCAGTCGCTAAGTCATGTCCGATTCTTTTGACCCCATGCACGGCAGCACGCCAGGCTCCTCTGTCCTCCACCGTCTCCCAGAGTTTACTCAAATTTACGTCCATTGAGTTGGTGATGCTATCTAACCATCTCACCCTCTGCCACCCCATCTCCTTTTGCCTTCCATCTTTCCCAGCATCAGGGTGTTTTTCAATGAGTCAGCTCTTCACATCAGGTGGCCAAAGTATTGGCTTAGGCTTCATCAGTCCTTCCAGTGAATAGTCAGGGTTGATTTCCTTTAGGAGGGACTGGTTGGAGCTCCTTGCAGTCCAAGGGACTCTCAAGAGTCTTCTCCAGCACCCCAGTTTGAAAGCATCAATTCTTCTTCATGGAAACACACTCTCATTCTTTCTTCCACGTTGCCCATTTCAGGGTCCTCCAGTTAATAGCAAGTAAGAGGCTGCAGTTTCTGCAATAAGAGATGAGGGGCCCAAACATCAGCTGGACAGACCAGTTTAGAAGACCACGCACAGAAGGATGGGCTTTTCCCATTCTGTCTTCAGCTCTTCCAGGTGGGGCTTGGCTTGGTCTGGAATTCCCTGACCCAGGGCTTCCTCCTTCTTGCAGCTCAGCGCAATTGCCAAAATTGCTGAGACAGAAGGTGTGAGCAGGGCAGGCAGGTTAGCGGCTGCTGAGGGCAGGCGCTGTGCCGCACTGCACTGCTGGAAGCTCTCATTTATTTCCTGCTCCGATTTACAAGTATGATGAGGCTTCATCTGTTGACTGCCAGCCTCCCATCCATCAATCCCACTCCACTGGAGGCAGAGCCCAGGTCCTGTTGGGCCTCTAAAACATTGGTTTGTTCTCTTTTCCTGCCTTGTAGGCCTGATAAACACAGGGAAAGGAGCTACAGATGGAGGTTGTTTGCCGCATGTGTGTGTCTGGGGGCAGGCAAAGCTGTGGCTGCTGTCCCTGCCAGGAAACACACCAGCTGGTGATGTTTTTACATCTGCTGTCCCCAGCTCCAACTCCAACTTGGAGCAATCCGGAGAACTGATGAGCTAAGCCTGGCTTCCTTCTCCTTCCAGCTGCCATTTTGGGCTTACGCGCTCTTGGCGTGCGGGCGGCCCAGCTGTAGGTCCTGTTTCTCAGTGCCCTGGGCAGTGAGGCTGTGATGACTGGTCCTGCGGGGTGGAGGGAGGATGTGGATGACTTCCTGCACCTGCTCTGGCCTGGTTAGGGATTTCCCCTCTCACCCATTAGGCTGAGACTACTAGGTACAAATGGGCTATTTCGAGCTCATTGCGAGGGAGAGTTGGATTGAATTCCCCTTTCAGAAGGGAAGCCTTATGGATGATGTTAATGCTGTATCTTGAGAGAAGGCAGCCTAGATCCTGTATGTGAGGCCATTGACCCGTCACCTCTGTCACACTGGGTTTCTCAAAGTGAAAGGCATTAAAAGTCTTTGGGGTATATGCTTCTGAATTCGTAGAGTTCCTAGATGAGGGACTTTCAGAAGTTACTTATGTTTTACATTTTTTTTTAAATTAAATTTTGGCTACACTGGGTCTTTGTTAGTGTTCAAAGGCTGTCTCCAGTTGCAGTGAGCGGGGGACACTCTCTAATTGGGGTGCACAGGCTTCTCATTGTGTGCTTCTCCCATTGCAGAGCACAGGCTCCAAGGCCCCAGGGGCGTAGGCACTTGTGGCATGTAGATTCAGTAGTTGTGGCTTGCACACCCTAGAACATGGGCTCAGTAGCCGTGGAGCACAGGCTTACTTGCCTTGCAGCACATGGGATCATCCAGGGCCAGGGATTAAATCCATGTTCCCTGCACTGGCAGGGGGGACTCCCAAGCACTGGAGCACTAGGGAAGCCCAGGTAGTTATTTATTCAATCTCCCCAAGTTTTAGTGTCCTCATTTAGTGAGTGAAGAATGAATGAATAAACAGATGAATTTGTTTATTGTCTACTGAGAATTTTTTTGGTTCATTGCTGGAAAAATTAAAAAAAATTTTTTTTTAATTGGAGGATAACTACTTTACAATATGGTGGTGGTTTTTGCCATACATCAGCATGAATTGGCCACAGGTATACATGTGTCCCCCTCATCCTGAACCCCACTCCCACCTCTCTCCTCACCCCATCTCTCTGGATTGTCTCAGACACCAGCTTTGGGTGCCTTGCATCATACATCAAACTCCCACCGGTTACCTAGTTTACATACAGTAATGTGTATGTTTCAATGCTGTTCTCTCAGATCATCTCACCCTCTCCTTCCCCCACTGTGTCCAAAAGTCTGTTCTTTGTGTCTCCTTGTTGCCCTGCATATAGGATTCTCAATACTATCATTCTAGATTCCACAAACATGCCTTAATACACAATATTGTCTTTCTCTTTCTGACTTAACTTCACCTTGTATAATACACTCCAGGTTCATCCACCTCATTAGAACTGACTCAAATGTGTTCTTTTTTTTAATAGCTGAGTACTATTCCATTGTGTAAATGTACCACAACTTCCTTATCCATTCATCTGTTGATGGAACTCTAGGTTGCTTCCATTTATCTACCGAGAATTTTAATTTCAATCCCCTTGTGGTCTCTTATCCCTTTGAGTGGTGCTAAATTGTGCAGAAATCTCACAGGCTTCCAAATTCCATTTTACAATGAAATGTTTATAACTTGGTTTTGCTAGTGCTCCTTTTTCCAAAGTCAAGTATACGTGTATGTGTGTGTGGGTGAATATTTGCAAGTGTTTGTGTGTTGGTTCTTAATACCTTTTCTCGAGAGGCAGATGGCATCATATGGTTCTAATGTCAAAATGCCCAGGTCTGAGCTTCTGCTCACTAGTCATTTCACCTTGGACAAGTGGTTTAACCTCTCTATACTTCCATTTTCTCTTTCATAAGATGGTGGTGATAATACGAATGATGCCTCTCTCTTGATGTTGGTATGGGATTCATTGAGTTTATATACTGATTATTTAGAATGATGCTTAGCATAGGTATGCTAAAGTGAAAATGTTGGTCACTCAGTTGTGTCCAACTCTTCGTGACCCCACAGATTGTAATGGACTGTAACCCATCAGACTCCTCTGTCCACAGGATTCTCCAGGCAAGAATACTGGAGTAGGTTGCCATTCGCTTCTCCAGAGATCTTCCCAACCCAGGGATCGAACCTGGGTTGCTTGCATTGCAGGCAGATTCTTTACCATCTAAGCCACCAGGGAAGGCCCAGGGTATGCTACGTTTTGGAATTATTGTTTGCTGTTATTTAGTTGCTTAGTCGTGTCCAACTGTTTGAACTATAGCCCACCAAGCTCCCCTGTCCATGGGATTTCTCAGACAAGAATACTGGAGTGGGCTGCCATTTCCTTCTCCAGGGGTCTCCCTGACCCAGGGATCGAACCTGTGTCTCCTGCTTGGCAGGTGGATTCTTCACCATCTGAGCCACCAGGAAAGCCCAGTTGGGGGTGGTCAAAGAATGTGATTTCACAGTGTCTTACCCTTAGGGAGCTGTCGCTGAAGTATAAACATCTTTGCTTTATGCACGAGAGCTTGCAATTTCGCGTTCAGAGGCTATTCTGTGTGAGGTCTCCCTCACTCCTTAATTCTCTTTCCTTCTCCCGTCTTTCCTCATCCTCTTCCGGCAGCTTCTCCTGCTGGTGTCTCACTGCCCTTCCTCTGTCCTGAGGATGGAGACCCTGATCTGGTCCCTTGCTTGTCATGCAAAGATGCAGACACACACACACTTACATATGTAATCATTGTAAGTGATCACTCCTCTGTCATTAGGAGCTGAAGTTCTCCTTATTAGAAAGAAGAGATATAAGTAAACTGCATCCTGATATATTTTCTATTAAAAAGTTGTTAGATCGGTCCACTGAAAAAGCCTACAAAGAATGATCAACCCAGCAGCAATGAGGACCCTTCACATCCAAATTGAGGTCTCCAAATAACGTTTCTCATTAAGGAACTGGGGGTCCTAGGAGAAATGGATGATTACCGGTGTGAGACAGGAAATGCACTAGGTGAGTCTGGAACACCTTATCATGCCAGAAAGCAAGGGGCTATCAAATGCTCTCGGGTCCGTGTTAAAATAACTAAGGAGAAATGAGGATTTGCTCCTAAGTATTTCCAATGGCCAAAAATGGAAACTTTGAACATCAAAAAGAATAATAACTATAATATATTGAAATACATCAAATATGTTAGAAATCTGTGAGCTCATAATGATATTTTAAAACAAACTAAAAAAGTCACTGGTTACTTTTAAAGGATTCTAGGGACCCAAATAATTATTGAGAAAATTGGTAAATTAAGGAAAACAAAGGAAAATATGGGGCATTTATTTTGCATTTCCTTTACCTCAACATAACTAAAGAGTTGGCATGGGAAAGATTATTCTTTATAAAGCTATCCCTGTTAATAAATTCAGGGGGAAAATTAAAATTGAAGCATCACTGTTTTGCACCCCCTAATGGAATAATAGGGCTTCCCAGGTGGTACAGTGGTAAAGAATCAGCCTGCCAACACAGGAGATGCAGGTTTGATCCCTGGGTCAGGAAGATTCCCCTGGAGAAGGGAATGACAACCCACTCCAGTATTCTTGTCTGGGAAATTCCATGGATGGAGGAGTTTGGCAAGTTACAGTTCAAGGGGTTGTAAAAGAGTTGGACACAAAGAAAATGTGGTATATTCCTACAATGTAATATTATTCAGCCTTAAAAAAGACAGGAATACCACCATTTGTGACAACATGGATAAACTTGAGGGCATAATGAGAAGTGAAATGTCCAAAGCAAAAATATAGCATAATTCCACTTATATGAGGTATTTAAAGTAGTCAAACTAAAAACGCAAAGAATACAATAGTGTTTACTAGGGACTAAGCTAGGCTTCAACAGTACATGAACCAAGAACTTCCAGATGTTCTAGCTGGATTTAGAAAATGCAGAGGGACCAGAGATCAAATTGCCAACATCTGTTGCATCATAGAAAAATCAAGGGAATTTCAGAAAAACATCTACTTCTGCTTTATTGACTACACTAAAGCCTTTGACTGTGTGGATCACAACAAACTGTGAAACATTCTTAAAGAGATGGGAATATCAGACCACCTTACCTGCCTCCTGAGAAACATGTATGCAGGTCAAGAAGCAACAGTTAGAACTAGACATGGAAAAATGGAGTGATTGCAAATTAGGAAAGGAGTACGTCAAGGCTATATATATAATCAGTCACCCTGATTATTTAACTTATATGCAGAATACATCATGCAAAATGCCTGGCTGGATGAAGCTCAAGCTGGAATCAAGATTGCCAGGAGAAATATCAATAACCTCATATAGGCAAGTGGCATCACCCTTATGGCAGAAAGCAAAGAGGAACTTAGCCTCTTGATGAAGGTGAAAGAGGAGAGTGAAAAAACTAGCTTAAAACTCAACATTCTGTATGGCTGATTCATGTTGATGTTTGGCAGAAACCAACACAATTTTGTAAAGCAATTATCCTTCAATTAAAAAAACACATTAAAAAAACTTAAACATTCAAAAAACTAAGCTCATGGCATCTGGTCCCATCACTTCATGACAAATAGATGGGGAAACGGTGGAAATAGTGGCAGACTTTATTTTCTTGGGGTCCAAAATCACTGTGGATGGTGACTGCAGTCATGACATAAAAATATTCTTGCTACTTGAAAGACAAGCTATGACCAACCTAGGTAGCATACTAAAAAGCAGAGACATCACTTTGCCAGCAATGGTCTGGTACAGTCAAAGCTACATATTTTTCTAGTAGTCGTGTATGGATGTGAGAGCTGGACCATAAAAAGAAGGTTGAGTGTCAAATAATCAATGCTTTTGAACTGTGGGAGTGCTGGAGAAGACCCTTGAGAGTCGCTTGGACAGAAAGGAGATCAAAGCAGTCAATCCTAAAGGAAATCAATTTTGAAAATTCATTAGAAGGACTGATTCTGAAGCTGCACTTCTAATATTTTGGCCTTCTGATGGGAAGAGCTGACTCATTAGAAAAGACCCTGATGCTGGGAAAGATTGAAGGCAGGAGGAGAAGGGGATGACAGAGGATGAGATGGTTGGATGGCATCACCAACACAATGGATATGAATTTGAGCAAACTCTGGGAGATAGTGAAGGACAGGGAAGCCTGGCGTGCTGCAGT